TGCTCCGCTCCTCTCGGCCCGCTGGGGACCTCGGTGACGCTGCCGCTAAGGAAAGAGAGAAAGAATTAATTGGTTTTTCTTTCCCTGTGCGGTGTGGACGGGGTCAGCTGAGGAGTGACGTTTGTAGCGCTGCAGTAGACGTTGCCAGCTGGGTGGGTTTCCGACGTGGAGGGAGTTCAGACGGGCTAAAGCACATACAGCCCCCGTTGGGCGCTACCGGCACTAAGTACTGCGGCGTGGGAAACTTCACCTCTTTAAATTAAAATTGGGGTAGCCTTTGGTAGAATGCTGCTCCGAGTCTTTTGGAAGCTCACTGCCTGTGATGTGAATAAAGCCCTCCCTGAGGAGGCAGAAAAGCTGTCTGACTCCTGTGATGACACCTACCCCGTCGCCCTCACACCTGGAACATTTTTAAAAAAAACCCAACAACTAGATAAGTCTACTGAAAATATTATCTGTAATATCCACGCTGATGACTATATAAATGAATTTTCAAGTATTTTCTATGCAGTCAATTTGGTTTCCTCACATAAAATTTGTTGTACACTTTAATCACCACAGTTTCCTGCCCCTTTTTAGTAAGAGCCAACTAAATAATGAAAATGAGCAAAGGATTCTGTTATGATGTGCATCATTAACAGGATTGTTTATTAAATTCTTCATCAGTAACATCTGCTTGCTTACTTGTTCATTGAAGACAAATAGTAATTTGGTTGCTGGAACACTTATAGCTGCTTGAGATACACAGCGATGAAGAATTAGCTCTGACTTTTTGGTCTCAATTTACAGCGAACACAAAATGCCACAATGCTGTACTTAAAATAATTTCCAAAAGGAGGCATGTGCAATAAATTGCCAACAAAGTCTTTTACTCTCTTGAAAAATAAAAAGGTAGGTACAGTAGCATCTTGTGCTTTAAGACAAAAGGCAAAGCAATTCCTTGATACATTTTTGAACTTAACATTTTCTGGCCAGAAAGAACATATCTCATTATCTTTTAATGTCTGTACCATCGCATTTGGCATTGTTACAGTGCAGAAGCCACAGAAATAACAACAGTGTTTTGTAAAAGAATCATAATTTCTCTTACAGTTTGAAAGAGACAAAAGAGATAATGATAATCTAGATAGAGTGATAAAGAAACCTTACAAGAAGCTGAAGCATGCTTCTCTGTCTCTCTGCATTTTTTCTAAGAGCAGTCAACAAAATAAATCAATATCAAGAAAAAACAAACAAGCATTCATAGCCATCCACCAAATTGCAGTTTGTTTGGTAAATAGACTCGGGAAAGGTAATCTGATGAAAGAGAAGTTAAAACTTGAATTTCAGCCTTCAGTCTAGATGCTGCCATAATTTCCAGCTAAAAAAAAAGAACACATTAATGTGTGATGCGGTAACAGCCTCATCCAGGGTTAGGCAATTATTTAAATAAGAATTACACTTGTTGGATGTGCATATGGAACTGTCAAGTTAGTATTACTGGAAATGCTGCTGCAAAATCCCCGTCACAGAGCTGAGGTCCGTTTTCCTGTATGCTCCTGTGTTCTCTAGTGTGTACCTCACAGTAACACGCACAATTTATGGGTATAAATGGGAAGGAGAAGGTACACAATACCTTTTCTTCCTTTCTAACCATTTCACACAATACATGCCTGAATCGAGATGTATGGTTTAGAAGCTACAGGCAAGACTAGAGGTCTAGTACTGAGTAAGCAACTGCTGTAAGCATTGCCCTACTTGTAAAGAAGTAATATCTTCTGTAATATTTAGGAAAGCAGTAAAACCCGTGGACAGCAAACCGCACCAGATGACTGGCAGCAGGAAAGCTTAAAGTTCTGGGCTGTGAGCCACTGAAGCCCACCGATTCAGAGAGACAGTGGGCAGGGGCTCTCTCAATCTTCCCTTCTTTTCGGGCTGCAAAACCTTACTGGTTCTGCTCTCCTAAGAGTTTGTCATCATAAAGAGGAACAGGATTTTAGACAACAGGCTTTGTCCTGTGGGGAGTAAGCAATAGGAAACAATAGGTTTATACATACTTCTTTTTTCCACGTTGGCTGACAAGCAATGTAAGGTCTCTTTTGTATACTTGCTAACTTCTTTTGATCTTGCTTTGTAAATGGAATCAGGACATCTTTGCGTATATTTAATCTGAAAAGAAAATAAAGTTGTTAAATTTTCTCATATAGTTAAAAAATATTTATTCTGACTTATTTCTTTATATTAAGTCAAAATAATATATGAAAAGAATAATGGATTTAAATGTCGGTTGTCTTTTTGTCCATTAAGTCAGATTGTATTTCCTGTCTCTGAAACAGAAGAACACTTCTGTTTCTTTTGGGGAAGTAACTAACCTCTGAAGATCAGATGGAAGGAGACCAAGCCACTTTATAGATGGAACGGTGAGATGATGGGCCTCAAAAGACATTGACTAAAATAAGAAAGGTCAGCTATAACATTCAGTGACTTTTAGTTTAAATTATTTGAGATATATGCTTTCCAAGGTCATGGTCAGACTTTATTACAAAGATAGTCAGGTATTTTCACTATCAGAATGGTATAGAAGACAGCGCAACCGAAGCTCACCATATCCCCTTGCCAGAAACTGTTCCTTTGCTAAGACTTGCACCCTTCAGCCCATGACGGATTCTAGGCTAGTCCAGTATAGGCTGGGCTAGTCTGAATTGTTTGGGGGTTTTATAGTCAGTATGAGTGTTATTGAAAAAAAAAAAAAAAAATTAAGCCAGGAGAAGCATTGACAATCAAATTTGGAAATTTCTGATATTTTCAGCTGGAAAGTACCACATCATATAAAAATAGCTCAAACAAACGTTCATCTGGTCCAGTATCACGGCTACAGTAAGTATCTTAGGGAAAAGTGTAAAACCAAATAAGCAATTAATGATACTTCTCAGAACACCTGCTCCCAACAGTTTGTGACCCCAACTTTCTGCGCCAGGAGTGGTGGTGGGTGGTGTAATACTTTATTTTGCTGGGTTGCTTTGAGAGTCCATGAAAACTTTTGTCATTTACAGCACTGTACAACGAGGTATCACAGTTAAATTACATGTTGTATAAAGGAATACTCCAGTGTTTGTAATGAACTGAACATACTCTAGTTTCATTTTTCACCTGTTGCTCTGTAATTGAACAAAATAAACTTTTAAAGAAATTTGACAATTTAATTTAAGCGTGGAAGATGACGTTTTATCAGTTTACACACCTTTGTAGAACTGAAAGCGTGAGAGCTTACCCAAGAACTTGAGAGTTCTGTCTCTCTGGATGTCCTTGAGGTGTATATTTGTTACGAGGTATATTTGAACTCTGACATAATCGATGTGTCACAGTTTTCTGAAGTTTGAGGGGGTTTTGTTGTTTTTTACTTTGGATGTTCTTTTTCCGTTGCTCTACTGAACCCTTCACCATCTGCTCCTGCCCTCTGCCCTCACCTTAGTCTCCCTGCCTTCCATATTGTCTTCCTGCACCTTGTCTTTTAGCAGTGTGATATAATAATACCTTCTTGTTCCCTTTGCCTCTTCTTCCATAATGTTCCACACTAACACATGTGCCCATAAGCGAATTCTCACCCCAAACCAAAATTTTACCAACATAACATGATTTTGTGGAGAGTCACCCACTTCACAAGTTAGGTCCTCCTCCTCCCCTGGTCCCTCCAGCCTTCATTTCTCTTCTAAGGCAGAAACAAAGCGAACTGGAGACCACTTTTGTATTTGGACTTCCTGAAAACTGCCTGTGCAGCAGGGAAAAACTGAAATACAGTTAAATCAAACACCTGTCATCGTTATCCAGTTTCCTCTTGATACAGGAAGAAGCTGTTTCTGCAGATACACAAGGCCTAAAAACTGTGTCTTTGTGTTGAAACAAAGTAATAAAAGGCAGTAACCATTCTAACAAAGGCTGCAACATTTCATACATTCCAGCTTCAAGGCTGGGCTACAAAACAATGTATTTGAAGTGGAAAAATTATACTCACCACAGATCCATATTTGTAGATGCACATTATTTCTACACCTGGGCATATTTAAGAAGACTGCATTAAGAATTCAATTTTATGTCCTGACAGTTACAGCTTTATGATTAATCAGGTTCTTTACAATTTACAATTAGAGTACGTCAAAATAATCAGAATTTGAGCATAACGTGTCACTTTTATATAGTTAAATGTTTCACGCTGTCTGTGTAATTTCAAAACCAAGGATAATCAGCTCTTTTACACATTATCCAACATCTATCACAAAAAGTGTCTTTCTTTAGCCTGTGCAATCCGTATCTCTTAATACTATTGCTTTAGGCAGCTGCTTCTCATTTTGCAGTCATTTCCCTAATTTTAGGTGATATCAGTGTAGATACATAAGAGATTTTCTACATTTTGTGTATGTGAATTCAGATTCTGAATTCAAACAAAGGCATATGCACTCACATACACAGAAACCCTTGTGAAATGAGCAAAATTTCAGATCTGCCACTGATGTAATAGAATAGCACATCCAAAATGTGATGGACTTGTTTTAGGATTAACTTTTTTTTCCTGCTGGCATCAGACTTATAGTTTCTAGCTTTCACTACTGTAAGCTATTAACATGAGTGCTAAATCATTAATATAAGTGTATGTGAACTACCTTAAATCCAATAAAAGACTCACTTTACTCAAACATACTATTTTCTTCCTATCTGTCTGGCCTAAGGATCATAATGTAGTTAAAAATTTTGCTTTATACTAAATTGAGCAACGTTTACAGAAGTTCCTGTTATCTCCTTTTCTTTTACAAAAAAGGAATAGTACAGCCAACAGCTGGAATTCTTGACAGAGCAGCATTTTCAACAGTATTTAGCTCTGTAAAGACATAGCTAAGACCTCCTGAGACTTTTAGAAGTGGTCAAGTGCCTAACTCCCATTAAAATCAGTGGAATCGCACAATGGATAATAAAATTCCATTTGCCTTATCCTCATTTTATGCCCACAGGTACTTTCAAAATCTAGCTCTATTCTGAGCTATGAATTCTATTAAAAAGTGTTTTTCTTTTTTAGATACAAAGTAAGATTCTTATTAATACCTCAAAGCACAACAAATCATCACAGAGGGTAAGGTTATATTCACTGGGGATGTAAAGCCAGTACTGATGTTTCAGTTAAACTTCTTCCATACTCCTAGATATATTCTGCATAAACCATGAATCTTCTGGTTGTGTTGAATCTCTCTGCTCTGAGTACCTTTCCGTAATAGTCAGAAAAGACATTCTAAATAAATTTTGCTTTCCTTTTATGTCATGGAATCTCTACAGATTTACCGTGTGGATCTGCATCCATAAGGGTGAAAATAGGAATTTGAAAAGTATCCCACAGCTTTCTGACCAAAAGTCGTGTGTTAAGATCTGGTACACCTCTTCCCTAAAGAAATAAAATAAAAGCAGACAGTTTTAAATTAATTAAAACAACATCTGGCTACATGTGTGTTTACATTTGTCATTTAAAAACAAGCAAGCAAACAAACAAAATGCTGGCAGAAATATTTCTCCAGCAGCTGTTTTGCAGGGAAAGTTGTATGCTCCTATTTTGGCGCTGTGAGGAGGGAAGGAGGAACGGGCTGGGGAGCAGCACGGCAGATGCCCTGGATTGCAGGTGCTGTAGAATCATGATTCCTCTTTTTAAGGAGTTAACTTGTAAGGTCTTAGAGTTGATGTATAGATGTACCCTGGTATCTGTGTAAGCTGGTGTATGATGGCCTCTTTTTTCTTCTCAAAAATATTTATGGCACTAATGAAACAATGTAAAACAAGATCTCCCTATGACTATAATGCGGCATAGTCTCTCTTAGGTATAGGGATATGTTTTTTCTTCATTGTGGGCCAAATTTGTCCCAGAACAAGTAGGCATGCATATTCCATTTACATATTTCTATTAATTCTTCAGGGTTCATCGCTCCTTCAGTACAATCCAAAATCAACCAATTCTGCTCAATTTGGGTTTGCTAAACCTAGGATCCTGAAGGACAAAGGTTACTCAAGAGTTAAGCCTTTCTGAGACCGAGTGCAGCAGCTACTTTGCATAAGCTAGCAAGCTCTAAGGAGAGGTTTGGAGGAAACAAGTTTTTAGAATGTGTATTTTATATTTCTACCAGAATAATAAAATGAAAAAAAAAATATCATTAGACATGTTTCATATTAATTTTATTATGGTCTTTTGACCAAGTTTGAGCACCACTACAATGTTAAAATATTTAAATTCTTATGTTTAGCTAGATGAAATGAAGTGTAAGAGGCATACCGTAATCATTATACATGGGGACAATTTATTGCAGAAGTCATCATCCAGGAGTCTCTGAAAAGTTGCATCTTTTTCTACAATTAACATAAATTCAGCATGTGAGATTAAATCTTTTCTGTTAAGGTTAGCTGCATGTAAAATGATCCATCACACCAATCAATTAAAACTAAATGCTCTAAAATACCTGTTCTGGAGCCAAAAGCAGTGTTCATGACTCAATTTCAGAGCCAACAAGCAACGAAAAAATTACCAGAACACTGTTTAACTTGGAATATTCTTTGTTTTTACTTTATTTTTTCAGTCTACAATGAGAGTTCTTGCTCAAAGGATACTTTTAATTCCTTGAACATTAGATGGCACAGTGACTGCCTAAAACAACAACAATGAGATTAATCATTTTAAATAGAGAAAATGATATCTTTTAAAATAACAACATTAGGTAATGAAGGACACAATTACATCCTGAAACAACCATTCATCTTCTGTATAAAAGATCATTCTTGACATTTTCACCTCTCTATAAGTGTATTCAACCATTCATATCCTGCTCTATTGTATGGTTGTGTAGGAGTCCTCCCTCTTATAATAAGATGCTTTTCAAAAGTGTTTGTGCTATTGTCACAAAAGATTGTTCATCATATGGGCATTACAGAGATAACAATGTCTTCATTAATTTTTTATCTGTCTTAGCCAGAAAAAAATTCAGCTTGGTGTGAAGATTGCAAATTTAATAAAGGCAAAAGCCACTTAAGTTTTCTTTTTGGAAGACCATTAAATACTTTCTTTTATTAACCTGTAACCTGATTTTATAACTATATTGGAGCAACTTTGAAGACATAGTAACATTTACTTTACATCTCCTATTAGGATTGGCTCAATCTGGCAAGCATGTGGATGAGAAAACAGGAACTGACAGAAGAACTTGGCAAAAGAATATGTATATATTGAAGTGTGCGGTCTGTTTTTACTTCTGACTGCTAAATCACCTCTGGTGCCAGGGTGGAAAAACTCAACAAATAAAAATACAAAGAGCTGTAGAAGAGCATTAGTAACAGAGGTTGTTGCACTCTGCTTAAAAACAAAGTCTAGCAGGCAGCTAAGGTTATCTTTCCATTTTGAAATTACTTAGATTTACAATGAACACATTTTCCAGAAAATCATGACAACAGTCAGCAAGTCTGAGTTCTGTTCCTGCTTTCAAATTCCGCACCGCTATAGAAATCTTTTAGAACTAGATTGGTTGAATCTCATCTCCTCAAACCACTTTTTGCGCTTGACTCTTATGAAACCATGGTTATAAACTTCTCTTTAGCTCAGTGCCACTTTTGATAAAATTATTTGGCAATATGAGCCCTTCTAATGTCTGTAATTCCTGTATAAGTATAATCCTGCAACAGCCTGAAACCATATACCTTTGGTTGTAGAATACTGAAGACAGTATCAACTCTTACACTGATGGAGTATCATCATTAAACTTCTGTAAATGAGAACATAATTTGGGTCCAGAAAGAGATTTCTAATTACAGAGGCTCAGTTCAGTCTCTCATCTGTGCTGTTGCTACTAGAGGAGTCTGCCCAGTGTGGTAGAAGCAGCTCATTGAGGACCACATGAGTGTTAACTCAGGCTTTAAGACTTGTTTTCTTACTCTGCCAGAAATCAATCTTCTGTAACAGAAGCAAAGTATGTTCAGAGTGCTCAGGATTCTTTGATTCAGAGCACTTACTTCACAGAAGACTGTAATATAAAGCCTAAGATACACAATATATACACCTTCCTCTGCAAGGCTCCTGTGGTAGAAGGTAGTGCTAAAAATGGTATCCGAAGGAGTACATAGCTGAGCTTCAGAATTGCAATACAGTTGAGAAATACTTTCTCTCTTTTTTCACCTAGGTTGTAATGTCTCAATTCGCCACAAGCACAGCTCCATATAATAAGTGTATACAGTAACCTGAGCTACAAGAAGTGCAGGAAATCATGCAAAGGTAGATGCTATGAATTACTGTTTTATAATACGTACTGTTGCACCGCAAGTACAATTCACTTTTGTACCATCTTCCTCAGTGTAACTTAAATTACCAGCAACAAAACCTTTAGTTGTAGACAGCTGAAAAAAATAGTTAAGTTGTATACCGTAAATTGGAAGTTACATGCTGTTATATTACTATATTGCACAGGCAAAACAAGAAACTTCTGAAAAGAATTCTGACTGGTAAGAAGTAGTTATCGACTGCCATCAACCTTTTAAACACTCAGCAATGTTGTTGTCATCATGGATATAAAGGCATATTTACAATAAATTGTGTTAACCGGGTTTATAGGTACAAAGGAACTCTTGTAAGGCATGAGATACAAGTAAATCTCAAAGGTAGTTACATTTTCATTTAACCCCCAAGTTAGCAAGTCATTTGAGTACAAATTGCTACGCAGATGTCTTGCACTCTGAAGTTTAAGCACTGCCTTCCCTAGGGAATAGCGAAAGGCCCTGTGATTTTAGCTGGCAGTTTGTCCCAAACTCTTTGAAGCAAGCAAACTCTGTGAACTTTCTCTGCAGAAAGAAACCTTTCCAGGGCTATGATAAATCATAATTAGGTTTCATTTGCACAAATGACACTTTTTCACTACGTATTTCCTACTGATAACTTTTCTTTGTATTTCAGCTTTCAGTTCAATCTGTATGATTTGGAAATAAAGACAAAAACATTCATAACAAGCAACTTACTATATGTAGACTTCTTCGAGGTATCTTAAGCATGCAAGAAATGTCACTGATTATATTGTCGACAACACTTTGGCTACCAAACAGTAGTGTATCTGAATAATATATATCTCTATCAAGACAAAATATGGTATTTGTGATTATAATAGTGAAACAGCTGTAGGTTCAGGACAATTTTATAGATGGCATGGATAATCAGATCAAACTAAAGCATTTATGTACAGGAATCCATTATCTACATGTTTGCGTCCTACAGGCTGTTTTTCACAATAACATTCTTAAAATACAACTTTATTTGAAATTACAGAAATGTAGTATGTTACCTTTTAGTTGCATAAGTATTGCTCTGCACCATCTTATAGATCATAGATAGCATTTTGAGCATCAAAGCTGAAAAGACATATTTTAAAAATATTTTATCTATTTTCAGAAATGCATATTGGTCTTTATATTGACCCATATTCGTGTGTCATAAAATAAACCTTTGAAATATATATTTTAATGTGCTGTGAAAATACAGAGAGACTGCACTAATCAATAGACTCAATAATTGCTAGCGTAATTAGAAAAAATATGATGGAGTTAAATGAGGGAATGTATGCCCTGCTGTCCAGGCCAAGAAACTGAATGACTGAGTTAGAAAAAGAAATTAGCATACTGTCCATATTCCAAGATTCCTTTACTAGCTAGCTTTTTTGAAGAAGGGTGATGTTTTTACATGAAGAACTTTTGAACATGCTAATATACATTCAGGGAGAGTGGAAACTGTAAGAACGATGTATTAATTTCACTGTCACTCACTATAATTTAATAGAGAAGCAAAAAGCTGAAGGGTTGGTTGTAATATCAGGATATATTAGCCATGCACTTCTAAATCATAGTGCATGTTTTTTTTTATGGTATGTTTTGGGTTTTTTTTAACAAAGTTTGGAACTAAAATACAAGAAAAACCATGAATTCTGCTTTTGGACTTTTTTAACTTACCAAATTTTGGTGCTGATCTAGGGCAGTCACTTCTTATTTGTTTTGTAGTATAATGTGGTGTCATCTGTAGACCTACAGAATCTTTAAATCTGATACATTGCAAACAAATACAATAAAACTGTAAACTTATTGAGTATACGTAAATTGGTCTCTGCAAGGTAATTCATGCTCAGATGCCTTTCCTATAATCAGATATGCTCGTGCTATTTTCAGAGTCAGTACAGAAATCATCAACTCAGGTGGAGTTGGAGTGGCTGAAGGAGAAAGGCAGGCAGTAGTCATCGTCTGCCAAAACGACCCATTCAAA